AATATTAGAGTATAGTGCCCATCACTTATACAAGGTCAGAATAGTGCCTGTTTGCACTAGCCAGAATGGCAAACCTGATGATTCACAAGATATGGGAAATATGGGAAATAACTCAAAATGGAGTTGCTTCAGTGAACGGAGAGAAATTTAGAATTAGCGCCAGACTAAATGCTGCTCTCATCCTGCTTAACAACTCTTAAAAGCAAACTCAAAAGGGTCAAACTGTTTCCAAGTAATTTAAATGCAAAGCTTAAGAATATTCACTGGAATACAAAAATATCCACAAACCCAAGAAGGTAAGATCACAAGGCCAATTGAATTGATACCTAATTAAAGATTACTAGGCATACAAAGAATCAGGAAAATACATCCCATAATAAGGACAAAAATCAACCAACTGAAACCAACTCAGACTGACACAGATGTTAGAATTAGTAGACGGGCATTAAAAAGTTACTATTACAACTGTATTCCAGATGTTTATTAAAAAATCATCAGTGGGATGTGGGACAAGTTCAAGCAGCCTAATATATGTATAACTTGAGTCTCCAAAGAAAGGTGAATGGCACAGATATAGTTTAAAAATTAATGCCCAAAAATGTTCCAGATGTGATGAAAAACTATAACCCATAGATCCAAGAAGCTCTCTAAACCCTGAGCACAAGAAGCATGAAGAAAACTACACTAAGGCACATCATGATCAAATTGCTTAAAACCAGTGAGAAAACCAATGAGAAAGAGAAAATCCTAAAGGCAATCATAATAATAAACAACATGTTATATACAGAAAAACACAGATAAGGATGACAACAGATTTCTCACTAGAAACAATATGAGAAAAAAGGTAAGCTACATCTTTAAAGTACTAGAAGAAAAAATCTGTTAAGTTACAGATTTATACACAGCAAAAACATCTTTTATAATAAATATTTATCACTAGCAGATCTTTAGATAATAGAAGAATAATACTGGATAGAAATCTAGATCTACACAAAGGAATAAATGAAGAGCATCATAATAACTACATGATAAACAAGTGGTAAATAAGTAATATTTTTCTTGTTATTATTCATCATTATCATTAAATATTAATATGATAACAGTGTCTTCTGGGGTGCATATGTATCAATAAAATATGTAACAAATAAACATTTAAGTGAGGAAGAGACAAATGAAAATACACTACAGAGCAGTTCTTATAATACATGTGATGTAGTATAATATTCCTTAAAAGTATATTGTGATCAGTTAAAGATGTATACTATAAACCTTAAAGCAACCACCTATATGATGAAACAGTTATAGTTAATAAGCCAAAAAAAGAGATAAAATGGAATCACTTAAAAAGACTCAATAAAAAGATTAATCAAAAGGCAAAAATTTTCATATTGGATTTTAAAAAAATCAATACTCAACTATATACTGCTTGTGAAAAATCATTTGAAATGTGAAGACACAAATAGTTAAAAGTAAAAGGATGAAAAAGATATACCACACTGAAAGTAATAAAAAATAAAAAAGCTAGAATGGCTGTAGTTATATCAGAGAAATTAGATTTTAGAGCAACGAATATTTCCATGGATAAAGGTCACTTTATAATGTTAAAGCAGTCAAAGAGGACACAACAATTCTAAACATATACCTGCCTAATAAAAGAGCTGCAAAACACATGTAGAAATAGACAAATTCACGAACAGAAATTTCAATAATGATGTCTCAATATTTGATAGAACAAGTAGACAGAAAGTCAACAAAGATATAGAAGATTTTCATAATATTAAAACTGACTTGATTTAATTAACATTTTAAAACACTCTACTTAGCCCATAAATAAACTCATACATATAATCAACTAATGTTTGACAAAGGAGGCAAGAATATACAGTGGAGAAAAAGCGTCTCTTTGGCAAGTTGTGCTGGGAAAACTGGAGAGCTGCATGTAAATCAGTGAAGTTAGAACACTTCCTCACATCATAGGCAAAAATAAACTCAAAATGACTTAAATTGTTAAACATAAGACAGGACATCATAAATCTCCTAGAAGAGAACATAGACAAAGCATTCTCTGATATGAATCATAGCAATGTTTTCCTAGGTCAGTCTACCAAGGCAATAGAAATAAAAGCAAAAATAAACAAGTTAGACCTAATTAAATGTATAAGCTTTTGCACAGCAAAGGAAACCATAAACAAAACAAAAAGACACCCTATGGAATGGGAGAAAATATTTGAAAACAATGTGACTGACAGAGACTTAACTTCCAAATAGCTCATATAACTCAATAACAAAAAACAAACAACCCAACCAAAAAATGGGCAGAAGACCTGAACAGACATTTCTTCAATGAAGACATATAAATGGCCAATATTCACATGAAAAGATGTTCTGCATCACTAACTATCAGAGAAATGCCAATCAAAACTACAATGAGGTATCACCTCACACCAGTCAAATGGCCATTTAAAAATTCCACAAATGATAAATGCTGGAGAGAGTGTGGAGAAAAAGGAACCCTCCTATACTAGGAATGTAATTTGGTGCAGCCCACTACGGAAAACAGTATGGAGAATCCTTAAAAAACTAAAACTAGAGTTATTATATAATCCAGCAATCCAACTTTCGGGTATATTTAGAGAAAATTCTAATTGGAAAAGATACATGCACTCCAGTATTCACCATAGCAGCACTATTAGCAATAGCCAAGACATGGAAGCAACTTAAATGTCCATCAACAAATGATTGGATAAAGAGGTTGTGTTGTGTATGTGTGTGTGTATATATATATGTGTGTGTGTGTGTGTGTGTATACACACACATATATATATATATATATATACATGTATATATTTACAATGAAATACTACTCAGCCATAAAAAAGAATGAAATAATGCCATTTGCAGCAACATGGATGGATCTAGAAATTATCATACTAAGTGAAGTAAGTCAGACAGAGAAAGAAAAACATCATACAATATCACAGACTCACAGACATGGAAAACAAACATCATTATCAAAGGGGAATGGGTGGGGAGGAATAAGTTAGGAGTCTGGGTTAGCAGTTACAAATTACTATATATAAAATACATAAACAACAAGGTCCTACTGTATAGCACAGGGAACTATATTCAATAGCTTGTAGTAACCTATAACAAAAAAGGATATAAAAAAATGAATATATTTATATGTATAACTGAATCACTATGCTATACATCAAAAACTAACTCAAAGTTGTAAATCAACTATATTTCAAATTAAATCAGTCAATCACTGTACTCAGCAATAGCACTCTTTTCAATTATACCCTAGAACATTTACTAAGATAGGCCATATTCTGGGCCATAAAACCAAGTCTCAAATTCAGAAAGATTCAAGTCATATAAACTATATTCTCTGACTGCGGTGGAAATAAATTAGAAATCAATGAAAGAAATAGATCTGGAAAAATCTCTAGATAGAAAAAAATTAAACCTAAATAACACTATTATTTGACCCATGGGTCAAAGAAGAAACCAAAATGGAAATTAGATAATATTTTGAATTGAATGAAAATTAAAAACACAATTATGGAATGTTGCTAAAGCATCTAATAGAGGAGAATTTATAGCATTAACTGCCTATTGTTGAAAATAAGAAAGGTTTCAAATCAGTAACCTCAGCTTCCACCTTAAACCAGCTAAAAAGTAAACTAAAACTAAACCGAAGGAAGGAAATAATAAATATTATAATGAAAATGAATTAAAAGAAAAGCAATAGAGAATATCAGTGAAACCAATAACTGATTCTGTAAGAAGACCAATAAAATTAATAAAACTCTAGCCTGACTGACCAGGAAAGAAGAAAGAAGACATCAATTGCTCATTTGAAAAGTGAGAAGTGGTATCATTATAGATTCAGACTCTACAGACATTAAAAATATAAGGGGATATTATGAACTTTATGTCGATGATTTCTACAACATAGACGAAAGAGATAAATTACTTGGGAGTACGAACAACCAAAACTCAATCAAGAAAAAAGCAGATAATTCAAATAGCCCTGTCTAGTAAGGAACTGAATTTGTAGTTAAACTTTCCAATAAACAAAACTCCAGGCCCAATTCCTCAATGGAGAACTCGACTAAACTTTTGTGGAAGAAATATCAATTCCACTCAAATTCTCCCAAAAACATTAAGAGAAGGGACTATTTTATAAATCATTCTATGAAGCCATAATTGTTATGATACCAAAACCAAATAAGACATTATAGAAAATACGTCTTCAGACCAGTATCCCTCATGAACATAGACATAAACATTGTTAAGAAATGTTTACCAAATCAAATCATGACCAAGTGGGGTTTATCCCAGGAATACAGAGTTAATTGAGCATTTGAACATCAATTAAAGTAATTCAACATATTAAAAGACTAAAAAGAAAAATAACACTTTATCTGTATAAATGCAGGAAAAAAAAACAACATTTGACAAATCAAATATTCATTCCTGATGAAAACTCTCAGTAACTTAGGAATAGGAGGGAACTTCTTCAACATGATAAAGAGTATCTACAAACATGCTATTGCTGGCATGATACTTTAATGTTGAAAGACTAGTTTTTTTCCCTTAAGATCAGGAACAAGATATGGATATTCATTCCCATCCCTTGCTATTCAACATTAATACTAGATGGTCTAATCTCTCTTAAGAGAGAGAAAAAAATCAGCCAAATTGAAAGCAAGTAAAATTGTCTTTTTTTCCCAGATAAATGACCATCTATGTAGAAAATCCAATGGACTCTACAAAAAAAGCTATTAGAACTGGTAAGTTAATTTAGCAAGACTTCAGTATTATCAATATATAAAAATCAATAGTAGTTTTATATACTAATAATGAACAGTTTAAAGTTGAAATTTAAAAATATCATTTACACTTGCATAAAATATGAAATATATCTGGCCAATATTATATAAGACCTGAGTGCAGAAAACTGTAAAATGTTTCTGAGAGAAATTTAAGAAAACCTAAATGTACATTGTCCATGAATCAGAAGATTGTTAAAATACCAATTAAGGTATTGTTAACATATCAATTCTCCCAAATTAATCTATACATTCAATGTAATCCCAATCAAAATCCCAGCAAATTTTTATGTAAAAATTGATAAGCTGATTCATATGGGGGGGAGGAATCCATAGAAATGCAAGACCTAGCATAGTCAAAACAACTTTGAAATGGTTGGAGGTCTAATACCATCTGACTTCAAGACTTACACTAAAGCTACAGTAATCAAGACAGTGTAGTACTGGCATCAAGAAAGATAAATTATCCAGACCAATGAAACAGAATAGAGTTTAAAATAAACCACATATTTGGATGACTGTTTCTTGACAAGGGAAATGCAGTGGAGAAAAGGTAGTCTTTTAGTCTTTTCAGTAAATAATGCTAGAATAATTGAACATCCATATTCAAAAAAAATAAAGAAAAGAAAAGAAAAGAAAGAAGACTTCTATTTCATATCTTGCACCATAACAACAAAGAAATAGATCATAGACCTAAATGTAAAACCTAGAACCATAAAACTAGAACAGAAGAAAATACAGGAGAAAAAAAATGTGACTGAGTTAAGCAAAGAGGTTTTAGGTACAACCAGGGAGTACTCGGCAAGTAGTCATCCAAATGCTCCATGAAGATTATCATTGAAAACAGCAAACATTTCTTCATTGCAAAAGATGGGGCACCGCATGGAGCCCGGTTTAAGAAATATTGTTCTAAGCTGTGTGTAATACTGAGAAAAAGTTCCTTTTCTATGGTCAAATAAACTAGGGAGATAAGATTGTTTGGCAATGCAGACCATAATATCCCTCCTGTTTAATGATAAGGAAAGATAAGATCATTTTGGTTTGCATTAATCAAAACCACTTAGTGTAGGACATTACACCTTACTTTTTTCTGCCCTGGTAGCCAGAAACTTTCTTTCACATCCCACAATACACAGAAAAGAGTTCTTTCAAAATTTTAGCCATTATGTTTTCTCCTAATGCAGATTCTATTTATGGTTAAAAACAACAAAAGCACAAACTAAACCACAATCTAAAACCTACTTGTTAGAAACACCACACATGAACCTTCTGCATTATTATGCATACATCGGTAATAGCGCTTTTCAGCTGTCAGCTATTTTTCAGGCAAATATTTAAGATTTCTGATGATAAGCACTGCGGTGGGGCTCAGTTTGCTCCTCTATGTTGGCCTTTTCCATCACCGTGGCCTTGGTAAGCGCTGTGGCCACACAGCACATGGCCTATGATGTAATACTCTTTCGGCCAACACAATCTGATCTTCTTTAATAGGTTATGTTGTGAATAATCAGCATTCCCAAATATTGCTGAAATACTAGCTTTAAGAGAAGTGTTTTTATTTTAGCATACATTCTGGACAACCCTGTACTGCACTTTGTCCATCAGAAAGAATGAAGAATATGCAAAAACACAAAAAGGCCATATTAGCAGTTGTATATTTTAAACAGTAACTCACAGCTCTCCAAGAGACTATAGATTATAGAAGCTCTCCACCTTCAGTTTTGCAATATCGCCTCACACTTGCCCCACTCTCAGATTTCTGTTCCTTTCAACAGATACTGGTATCCTATCTAAGTTTTTTAACTTTAATTTGTTTGATAGAAATCAATGCCTTTTTAACTGGAGCATACCAATCATATCTCCATCTCTTCTAAATGTTGCTAAACAGCTACTGTTTCACTGAAAATGTGCTCTTAGAGGTTTTTAGGATGTTTGCTTCCACCTTAAATGCCTCCAGACTGCTTGTTTGTTTTTGTTTTTTTTCTCTCCCATCTACATCACTGTTATTTGTCACTGTGGGTCACCCAAATTGTTCTTGACTTATAAAAGCCCTTTTTTTGTGTGTTCTGTAATTTGTTACCTCCAGTGTACACTTGGGTTGGAAGTCAGATTACTCATCCTATTAAAATTCTATATAAAATAAAAATTGACTCTGACTACATGTCAGAGGGTCTCTTTAGAGGACTGAAAGCCTGAGTTTATTTGCTAGAAGCTTCTTCAGTACCTCAGAGGTCTTTCCTCTTCTTTTCAGGTACTTGTTAGCAATAGCTAGAAATGAAAGATGACTGACAAGTGAGTCACTATCACAATAGAATAACTAAGAAAGCAGGATACTGAAAACTACAAGCCACAGCACTAGTTACACAGTAGTGTTACAGGCCTTTATGAAAGTCAGAGTTGACTCCCTTTGTATCTCCTGTTGGCAAATGCTTATGGTATGAATTGGAAGCCACACTAAAAAGCCCTGTAGGCTTCCTGCAGTCCTCCAAGTCCAACAGAATAGACAGAGATTTCATTCTTCTTAAGTGTTACATTGCCAAGAATGCCTGTTGAATTGCAAATATTCCTGGGAGTGACATCACATTTAGCTAATCAGCTGTCAATATCTGACTATGAAATGGTTTGTCCAATTAGGCACCATACAAAGCCCTGACAGGACATACGGCTGGTAAATTCTGAGAAAGAAGGGAGTGGGGCTTGAGAGCCAGCCTGAGGGTGCTGGTGCCTAGAAATGGAAGGATGAAGAGAAGTCAGTCCAGTAAGGAAAAGGGAAAAGAAAGTATTGTGCAACTTCACTTCCTTCATGCTTTTGCCAAAGATAGCTGTGGATATATGCATGCTTGTTTTATGATCTCTTTCAAAGGTTATATGAAAAAAACTCATTGCAATTCTTATAGATCTTATTAGAAATAAAAATTTCTCACTCTTCAGCATTTTCCTGAATCTTTATAAGTCTGTTAGACTCATTCAGACATAATTTCAAACCAAAAACACTTCAAAACATAGATTCCCTTAAGGGAGCTGAGTACTTATTGAAAGGCTGCTGAGGAAAAGCAGTTCTTTGTATTATATATAAAGTATATTTTTCTACTTATTTAAATAAGTAGAAAAAATTTTCTTAGCAGAGACTGACCAGATATTCACTAAATTTGTTTGTTCTCCTAGGCACACAATTAAATTACATTTACCAGACCATTTATATTCCAGACTGTATAATTCTTACTCATAGAATGAATACAAGTGAAGAAATTAATGTAACTTTTCTGTATTTGTTTTCTCTTCTCTCCATCTGCTGGCTGGATGACCCTACGGCAACCTAAATAAGCCACAACTTGAAGGTAGTATGACCACAGCATAGGGAGAGCAGAGCCCCACTACTGACCCTCACTGGGTTATAAGTGAGACATAAACCTTTGTGGGGTTAAGTACTGAGATTTGGGGTTTGTTTATTTCAGCAGCTAGTATCATTTAATCTTGATTAACAAAGCTGTTTTCAAAAAAAGAAAAGCATACATTATATTTGGGTAAAACACAGGGGTTCCCTCATTCATGGACTCTTTGAGCCAAAATAGCAATGTGTGATGATGCCTACTTAGTAGGTACTGATATCTTATGCTTCAATTTTTAATGCTCTCAAAACACTCCACGGGCCCACAGAAGAGGCTAGGGGTCACACTATACAATGTCAGCTCTGCCGATCATGGGTAACACAGGAATAGCATTAGTCTTAAGAAATGGGCCTCAAGCTGAGACTCTTGTACATGGTTTGAATTGTGGTCATGCCACTGATTAATCATCTTATCTTGGGCATGTTGTTTAGCACCTCTGTGCCTTGGTTTTCTCACCTGTAGAATGAAAAAATAGTACTGCCAACCTTGGATAGTGAAGATTAACTGAGTGATATACACTAAGTGCTTAGAATAGTGCATGGCACATAGCAAGTATTATATGAGTGTTTGTTACTGTTATTAACTAGCCAAATGGCCCTGAGATCACGTATGTTTCTGAATATTAATTTCTGTATCTGAAAAGCAAATCTGGTATAACCTCTCTGTCACTGATAAAGAGGGGTAATAATAACAGTACTTTGGCAGATTGTTCATTAATGGCCCTCAATGAATCCTATGTCTGGTACCTACATCCTGATGTAGTCCTCTCCATAGACGCTGGGGTTGGCATATGACTTGCTTTGGTCAATGAAATATCAACAAATGTGACATAAAAAAGACTTAATAAGCAATTATGTATTGAGGTTTAATCCGTAGATTCAACAAAATCTCAGTCAAAATCTCAGCAAGTTATTTTGTGGATATCAGCAAACTGATTCCAGAATAGCCAACAGGATATAGAAGAACAAAGTCAGAGGGCTGACTCTACTCAGTTGCAAGACACTATAAAAGTAAAATAATCAAGACAGTGCAGTATTGGTGAAAGAATAGACAAATGAATCAATGGACCAGAACAGAAAACCCAGAAATAGACACAAATAAATATAGTCAACAGATTTTTGGCCAAGGAGCAAAGGCAATACAATGGAACAAAGGTATCTTTTCAAACGGTGCTAGAACAACTGGACATCCACATGCCAAAAAAAACAAAAACAAAAAAACTAGACACAGATCTTACACCTTTCACAAAAATGAACTCAAAATGGATCAGACCTAAATGTAAAATGCACAGTTTGATCAAACTCCTAGAAGATAGCATAGGAAAAAACCTAGGTGACCTTGCATATTGCAATGACTTTTTAGAAACAACAGCGGAAGTACAATTTATGAAAGAAATAATTGGTAAAAACTAGATTTCATGAAAATTAAAAGCTCCTTTGTGAAAGATACTGTCAAAAGAATGAGGAGACCATCCACAGACTGGGAGAAAATATTTACAAAGGATACATCCAATAAAGGACTGGTATCCAAAATATACAAAAACTTTTAAAACTCAACAATAAGAAAGCGAACAACCCAATTTAAAAGTGGGCAAGAGATATGCACAGACACCTCACCAAAGAAGATGGCAAATTAGAATACGAAAAGATGCTCAGCATCATATGTCATTAGAAAATTGCAAATTAAAACAACAGTAAGATACCATTACACACCAAAATTCAAAACACTGACAATACCAAATGATGATGAGCATGTGGAGCAACAAGATTTCTTATTCATTGGTAGTGGACTACAAAATGGTACAATCACTTTGGAAGCCAGTTTGGCAGTTTCTTACAAAACTAAACATTTTCTTACCATCTGATCCAGCAATTGTTATTTCTTCATATTTACCTCTATGAGTTGAAAGGATGTTTACAGAAGCTTTATTCATAATTGCCAAAACTTGGAAGCAACCAAGATGTCCTTCAGTAGGTGAAGAGATAAATAAACTATGATACATAAAGACAATAGAATATTATTCAGCAGTAGAAGGAAATGAGCTGTTAAGCCATGAAAAAAAATGGAAGAAACAAATGGATATTAACTAAGTGAAAGAAGCCAATCTGCGAAGACTAAAACTGTATGATATCAGCTCTGTGATATTCTGGAAAAGCAAAACTATGGAAACAGTAAAAGAATCAGTGATTACCAAGGGTTAGCAGTAAAATTACTCTATATGATACTGTTATGATGGATCTATGTTAATAAATGTTTGTCCAGACTCATAAAATGTACAACACCAAGAATAAACTGCAATGTAAACTGTGGACTTTGAGTGACAGTAATGTGTCAAAGTAGGTTCCACAATTATAAAAATCTACCACTCCAGTGATTTTGATAGTGAGGGATGCTGTATGTATATGGGGGTAAGGAATATATGGGAAATCTCTGTACCTTCTCCTCAGTTTTTCTGTGAGCCTAAAACTGCTCTTATACAATAGTCTAGTTAAAAAAAAACTGGGACAATTTATAAAATATAATATTGAGCCTCAAGTATGTAGCAAGAACCATGGCAGGCATGGTGGAGGGTGGGGCAGGAAGGAAAGGAGTTGCATATACGCAAGAGGAAATAGATGATTTGTATCCTAAGTAACCATACTCTAGTTAGAAAGACAAGACACAGTAAAAATAAACCAAACACCTAGCTACATCTCCCCCAACCCCCACCAAAAACCTTCTCTGGATATGTGACATTTATTTGTACATACAACTTAGAATTTTATCCATAATCTGTAAAACACAGAAAATTACACAGTGGGTTGAAAACAAAAAATAATTCCAGGGCCAGTTACAGAAATGAGTAAAGTGGGGCAGTATATAATATAGTAGGGACTAGCAGAGTGGTGGGGGTAGGGTAGAGATGTGGCGAAATTGGAGCATGCTTGCTCTGCCTGGAGTTCACATTGATACCAAAAGCCAAATCAAACTAAAACAAAGAAAATTTTAAAATAAATGTTTATAATTCATTGCACTGTTAATCATGGACTTATTTTCCCTAAATACAGGCTTTAAGTACCTCTCAATACAAAGCATTTTGAGAAACAGAATATTGTTGGTAGTAAATTTAGAAAGAGAGAATTTAACGCTTAACATATATTGTGTATGATATTTACATGGTGGGTTTTTACTTAGTTCTGCTTCTGTGTATCAATGAGAATGACACTACAGTAATGCTAATAATAAAAGACCTTAAGAATTAAAAAAAAAAAGAGCACAGCTCATGCCTGCTAAACAAAACAATTCTGTCAGATGTGATCTCTATCCTTAACTACGTTCTTTGAAGACTAGGCCACCAATCAATTAAGCAATACCTATTGAATATTTAATTGCTTGGGGAAGAACTGGCAGAGTAGATAAATCACATAAGAACCAAAACATTAAATAACTTGAGTTGACAATGAGTTGTTTCATAGTCAAGAGGTATGATGACTAAATGTAATATGATATCCTGGATGGAATCCTGGAACAGGAAAAGAACGTTAGGTAAAAACCAAGGGAATCTGAATCAAGTATGGACTTCAGTAAATAATGATATATCAATATTGGTTCATTAATTACCATAAATATATTTATACTGTACTAATATGTTATTTATATGGAGTATGTGGGAACTCTCTGTACTATCTTTGCAATTTTTCTGTAAATCCAAAACTCTCCTAAAAGATTAAGTTTTTCAAAAATGAATTAATGACTAATTTGGGATAAATCCAGGCCTCTTGATTCCCAGACCTCCTTGCTTTTACCCACAGACACGAGTTTGTAATCTGTTTGTGTCATGGAAGCCTTTCTAATAAGCATAGCTGCATAAAAGATAAAGGATTACAGAGGAAATAAATGCTATTGAAATACTTTTATAACAGTAAAAAAACAAATTTGTGATATAATAATATGTATGTTGTTATTAATGCATCAAGTACAAGATCTAGTGACAGATTTCTTACCTACTGTAATTTTGAAATGTGATGAATTTAAATGATAATTCAAGATACCTGCACCTATAATTATTAGAGAAATGCAAATCAAAACCACAATGAGGTATCACCTCATACTGGCCATCATCAATGAGGTATCACCTCATACCAGCCATCATCAAAAAGTCTACAAGGATTGAATGCTGAAGAGGATGTGGAGGAAAGGGAACCCTCATTCATACACTGTTGGTGGAAATGTAAATTGGCGCAGCCACTATGGAAAACAGTATGGAGGTTCCTTTAAGAGCTGAAAATAAAACTACTATATGATCTCACAATTCCACTCCTGGGTATATACTTGGAAAAAAAGGAAAACACTAATTCAAAAAGGTACATGCATGCACCTCAGTGTTCATAGTAGCACTATTTACAATAGCCAAGACACGGAAACAACTCAAGTGCCCATCGACAGATCATCGGTTTAAGAAGATGTGAGATACATAGATAGATAGATAGATAGATAGATATAGATAGATAGATAGATAGATAGATGACATTACTCAGCCATAAAAAGGAATAAAATATTGCCATTTGCAACAACATAGATGGACCTAGAGATTATTATACTAAGTAAAGTAAGTCAGACAGAGAAAGACAAATATATGATATCACTTATATGTGGAATCTAAAAAGTAATACAAACGAATCTAAATACAAAACAGAGACAGACTCACAGATATAGAAAATAAACTTACAGTTGCCAAAGAGGGAAGGGATAAACTAGGATTATGAGATTAACAGGGACAAACTACTATATATGAAATTAACAAGCAACAAGGATTTACTGTACAGCACAGGGAACCATATTCAATATCTTGTAATAACCTATAATGGAAAACAACCTGGAAAATATATATATAGCTGAATCACTTTGTTGTACATCTGAAACTAATACAATATTGTAAATCAACTATACTTCCATTCTAAAAAGATATCTACACCTACTGGAATATGATACGAAAATAGTTTTTACTTCTGTTGGTGAAAGGTCACAAGTATTAACATTGCTGTAGTTTGTTGCCTACACTCACAATTTAAAGAAAAGTTAAATCTCAGATGTTACAAAAGAAAGTTGTAAACTTTTCTCATCCAAATTCATAGGACACACACACCTCCACCCTCTCCTGCATTCTGTGCAGTCCAGGAGTTTAGAATCCCTGGGCTGAGGAAGTCC